TGGGGCGGGCCGGCGACGCGGCACCGCCTTAACTGGATCGCCCAAACGGGATGCGGGTCCGTGGGATTAGTTTAGGAACCGCGGGACCAGGTCCCCGAGCGTGGCATGCCCCGCAGGGAGGGTGGGAGGGATAAAGGCGGGTGGGCGGGCGGGGGGGGGGGGCCGCGTGCGCGCTGCTGGCGCCCTTGGCCGGGGGCGGGAGGAGGCGGCGGCCTCGCGAGGGCGACCCGGCGCAGGGGGGAGTACCGGCCAGCCGTCGGCACACCCCGGCGGGGCTACCCTCCGGCCGGGGGTGGCATGGCACCCCCGGCCGGGGGCCCGACTACTTAAGGCGGCTCGGCTTGGCGGGGCGGCCCGCGGCCCCGGGCATGACCGCGCTCCTTGTCACAGCGACCCGCAGGCCTTCGACCGCCTCTTCCCAAACTCTCTCTCTCTCTCGTTTGCCCCCCCCCCCCTCTCTGCCTTGTTGACAGTGCGTCCCCGACATCGAGACTGTGCTGGCGCTGCCAGACGCGCCGCTTCGCCCGCCCCCTGCCCTGGCCGTGTGGCATGGCCCGCCGGCAGCGGGCCCCCTTCGTGATGCTAACTGCCTTGCTGCTTCGACCTCCCGGCCGGGCGCGCGCGCAGCGCCCCGACCCATCACCATGACCGAGGAGGACGTTCGCCACATGGCCTGCTGCCCCCAGCGGAAGGCCGGCGCCGATGTGCCGGCCGACCGCGACGAGGTCGGCGGCACGACCACCGCCGCGGCTTGCGAAATATGCCAGACCACCGACCCCGGGTGTCTGGGCCAGTGCGGCGACTGCCAGCGGTGGTTTTGCAACGGCGCATGGTCACTCTACCAAGAGAGCCACCTCGTTTGGCACATGGCCCGGAAGAAGGTGCGTCGAGGGGGCAAATACCCAGGGCTGGGATTCGCGCATGGCGGCCGACTGACGCAGGACCATGCCGCGGGCGGCGGCCCCCCCCCCCCTGTCGGGCGCGCAGCACTGTTCGCTGTGGCTGCACCGGGAGCACCGGCTCGGCCACTTGCTCATCGATTGTTTCATGTGCGGGGTGTCGGACGTGTCGGAGCTCTCCGTCGGCACTTTCCCCAACCTGGGCCCGGTGGTGTGCTGCGAGGCGTGCATTAACTCGGGCCTGGAGGACGGGCATCTAATTTACTGGTCGAGGGTATTGATGCCGACCCACATCACGGACGAGCTGCTGCCCTCGCGGAAGGCAAAGGTACGGCCCGGGGGGTGTGTCGCCCGCCGGCCCGGAGGCATTCCGTGCTGACAGATTGGCCCCGCCCCTGCCTGCCACTCGGCCTGGCTAGGCGTGGCCGCAGTGCTGCAGGCAGGCCGCACTGCATGCGGAGGGCACGGAGACGAACAGCCCGCAAAAGACGGCGGTGCCGAAGAAAGGCCGGCCGTCCTTCGTGCGAGTGCCGAAGTTGTGCGTGTGTGTGTGTGTGTGTGTGTGTGTGTGTGCCAGGGCCGCGGGGATTCCGGAAGAGGGGGACACGCGCCTCGCCCCCCTGGCGGAGGGTCTGCCGGCTGACCGACGTGTCTGCGCGCGCGGTGATGTGCCTGGCGCCTGGCGTGCAGCTTCCTCTCGGCGGAGCACTACCAGAAGGTGTTCTCGCCGCTGGTGAAGCTGGAGATGGCGAATGCCCTCGAGGTGGCGAGCACCACCGTGGTTCACGGGGTCATGGCGAGGCTCAATCGCGACAAGGACAGCTATGTGTTCCTGGACACCGGCAACTGTACGTGCGCGTGGCCCGGGGGCCTGGGCGGGGGTGGGGTCCTCGCTGTGGCCGGGCTGCTTCGGGCGCGCTGACTCCCTTGCTGTACGCGCGCCTGCCTCTCCGCCTGTCCCCTCGCCGCCCCGTGCCGGGGCCGGCCAGCTCTGCGAGTGTCGGTCGGTTGCTTCCTAGCCATCGGCCACCCGGCGTGCGACGACGTGAGCCTCTTCGTCAAGGTGCTCAACATCTCCGGCGGTGCGTGCCCGTGCGCGGCTCAGGGGGGGG